TTGGGGTCCTCTTGAGGGGCTTTGGGGGGCTTCTTGGAAGCATCTTGGGGCCTCTTGGGGGCTTATTGGGTCCTCACGGCGGGCTCTTGGGGCCTCTTGAAGGCCTCCTGGGGCAACCTATGGCGCAACCAGTAGGGGGACGTTTTATTCTCGGCGGCCGAGGGCGCAACCTATGACGCAACCAATAGGGGGGCGTTTTATTCTCGGCGGCCGAGGGCGCAACATATGGCGCAACCGCAAGGGATTCTGGCCCCTGGCAGGCGCGCGAACCCCGTTGCAAGAGCGTGCGAAAGTAGCTCGCGCGAGCTCATGTAACATAAATGTTGGAAAACCATTGGTTTTTTTAGGATTCGGACAGCGCGCGCGGGTGAAATTTTGAAAAGTCGTGCAGGTGTTTTTCGAGGACCTACGGTGCGATTCGTGTGATTTTATGATGCGCGGTGCTAAAATTCTTAAGAACCCAATGGTTTTTGGAGATTTCGGCGTGCGCGCGCGAAGAAAAAACGAATGTGTCCCGCATGGTATTATTTGACAGGGATGATGGCCCTGGCAGGTGCGCAACCGTTGTCGCAGAAGTTCGAAAAAGTTGCTCGCAAAAGCCCGTTTGACAGAAATGTTTAAAAAGTGTTGGTTTTCCTACGAATCCGCAAGAGCGCGCGGGATGAGATTTTGACATTTTTTTGTTGAAAAACCATTGGTTTTTTGATGTTTTTATGTTAAAATCGCTCCGAACACTAAGCTTTTGGAAGGATTTCGTCTTGCGCGCGCGAATGTCCACTTTACCTTATTTTTTGCAAGGGATTCTTGAAATTTGATTATATTAGAACAAGAAATGTCATTTTATAGTGTTTTTTGCAAGGGAAAGCGGGGGGGAACAAAACAACCGGATCTTGATCACATCGAATTACCTGAGGCTTCCTCACGAAAATGATGAAAATGTAGCTGCGGCCTAGGCGGCGCAGGGGGGCCGTGCACCAGGGGTCCCAACAATAATTATTCTTTAGAATTAATAATGTTCAACAACAACAACAACAACAACAACAACAACAACAACAACAACCAAAAACAACCAAAAACAAACGCACACACACTTTTGGTCGTAGCGGCGCGGCGACTCGCCAGCGCGCCGGGCGCCCCTCACGGGGCGGTGACCGGGGGCGACGGGCAGGCAGCGGGCAACGGCCGGGCGGCGGGGCAGCGGGCGGGCCGGGGCCGCGGGCCGCGGGCGGCAGGGGCGGAGCAGCAGCCAGGCGGCGCCGCGCCAGGAGCGGGCGGGCGCAGCAAGAGCGGCGCGCGGGGGCGCAGCCGGCGGGCCCCCGCCAGGGTTAAAGCCGGGCGGGGGGCCGCAGCGGCAGAGACTGGAGCGGGCGAAACCGCGGCGCGCTGGAGGCACCCCAGCGAGCCAGGAAGGGGGGGGGGGGGAGCAAGAGGAGGAGGAGGAGGAGGAGGAGGAGGAGGAGGAGGGAGGAGAAGGAGGAGGAGGAGGAGGAGGAGGAGAATGTAGAGGAGAAGGAAGGAAGAGGAGGCGGAGGAGGAGGGAGGAGGAGGCGGCGGCGGCGGGCTCATCAGGGGCACGGGTCAGGGTTCGGACGATACTGAGACATTCCGAAACAGGCCCAAGCACCTCGAGTGCGCTCTAGAGCGGTGCATGGCATGTGGGGGGGGGCTCACACGCTCCTCAGCCAGCAGAATGGACATATCCATGTGGCCAGAAGCGGCAGACCCCGACAAAACTATGGGGCGACCATCGCAGGCAGGCGGGGAAACACGTCCCTACAGGAACCTAAGAAACGAAACAGGCCAGCACCCACGGACCAGGCTCACGACTGACATCCCACGGGGAAACAAGGCACAGAGAGCCACGGCCAGGTACACACTCAGGAGCCCCGCCTAGGAGCCATTCCGATCAGTCTCAGGATGCTGGCATCAATATTCTGAAAGGAGGCGGGGCGAGAGGGGACGGACGACGACCTCGGAGGGGCGAAAGAGGAGGTCGGGGGACGGAGGGATCAGGCTATCAACTCTCGAATTCGAATTTGACTGTCTCGACGGTCTGGTGAGCTCCCTCTCACACCTGCCTCCCAAGCCTAATACGCAGCGAGACGAGCGGGTAGCTGTCCCCTCGGGGTAGGAGGCGCTAGCCTCTGGGAAGTCGATGGCGCAGTCTGTGTTGTACTGGGCGGATGTATCTGGCGACACGGAGTGCGAGTCATCGATCCCACGGTGCACAGCTGGCTTCCCTCCCTCCGCGTCTGCCGAGCCGTCGTAGACACTGGAGCCGAGGGTGGACTCATCAAGGTCTCAGAACTGGTGGTCTGACTCGCCCGATCTCTCTCCTCTCCCGCTTCGAGCTGTCCGAGCAGAACTGATGGCGAGTCTGAGCCCTTCTCGGGCATCCTGACCATCGAGCTCCAGCTAAACAGATGCCGACTTCGAGCCCTCGCGGGCGTCTTGACCATCGAGCTCCAGCAAAACAGGTGGCGACGTCGAGCCCTGACGG